GTGGTCCTCCCCCCCCCCCGCCAGCGCCCCGCCCTCCACCTGGAGCGGGGCCGCGCGCTGAGCTCTGGGTTCCTGCCCTTGAGATGGCCCACACCTGTGAGCCATCTTCCACTACATCACTGGGACACCGCTCTCCCCGGTTTCAGGAATTGTGTGACCACTCGAAAGTCTCTCCAAAAACGCCCCCAAACTGTACCACCATAGCACCCTCACTGTTTGGTATTATCTCAAACCATACACGGGAGGGACGAAGTACAAGGGACTAAGGACTAGCACTTAAGGTTCCTGATCCTGGGTGTGCGATTCTGGGAAGATTTACTACCGGGGACTCTAACAACTTGGTTTCTTGTTCGAAGGCAAGTGCTTTTCTCTTGCCCAAAGCAGCCACTCTATAGGAATTGCCCGTACGTAGCTAAGGTAAAATAGCCCTTTTTGAGGGCTGGGTAAGAGGCAGATTATGGGCATCTGAGAAAGGAAACGAAAGGGTGTTTTGGAACCGGGGAGAGACTGGTTAAAAAGGAACTGGTTTTATTATGTTCTTTCAGAGGAAATAGATCAGCCGTCCAGACAACCTGTTTAGGAAATCCAGGCTGAGCGATGGCATGGAGGGTCAGCAGGGAACAAATGACGAGACACTCCCCCTCCCAACACACATACACACCAGCCTTAGCTGTATGACTGTCTCCTCACTTTTAGACTAGATTAAGGTGAGAAGAAAGTGAACATCAGTAAGGACTACATGCAATTCTTCAATACCTTGACTGCAGTTTACAATGGTATTTACAACAGCACCTGCAAGTTATGCCAACTGGGGATGAGAAACCAATTTTTGAAAACACAGTTAACGTCATGTCTTTTGACCATTTTAGCCATAGTAACGCTATATTGATTGACTTTCTCACTCTTCAGTACTTTACTACTGAAGACAAGTTACAGGATTCAAAAGTAACTCTTACACCTTTTTCTAATCAAGAAACTTCGTGATCCCTCTAAACGGTGGGTGGAGGAAAAAAGAAGGAACTTGGTAGCCAACCCCTCCCCAAGCCCGCCTGACATGTTTCCCACGAGCCCTTTCTCACCCATGGATTCAACATGGCTCCTCTGCACCTGGGGCACCTCCAAGCGGCTGCGACCACCTGCCTCACTCAGTTCCCACCGCATTTCCCGGTGCCTGAACTGGCAGTACAAACGCGGACACTGACCCCCGGGGCTGTCAAAAGGGCGTGCAAAATGGCAAAAGTAACCCGCGGAAGGGAGCATGGGCTCTTGCTCAAGGCCACCCCCTCTGACTCCCAAACTGTGCACAAACATCAGCAGGACCGGGCCAAGGGGAACGCCCAGCCGGGCTACCGCACCTCCCGGGAGCCCGAGTACTGCCTTATATAGTCCGTCGCTACTCAAGGGCGGCGCTTTGTAGCTTTCCAACCAATGGGGAGGCTGGGGCTGGCATCGGGGCAGAGAATGAGGGAATGACGCTGAGAATGGATGGTAGGGCCGTGGCTGGTGAGTGTAAAACTTATGTCTGTCCTCCATGGGGAAGAAGGTTCACAGAGACCCATGCTACAGGCAGGGAAAACAGTTTCTCAAGAGCGGAAAGAACCCTGGGGTTGAGGAACCGCTTGCCTTCTGGATGTCTACTTTGCGCCTCCGCAACGTCTCTCAGCTTTTGTCAGGTGGGCTTGGGGAGGAGTTGGCTACCAACTGTTCCTACTTTTTTCCTCCACCCACTCTTGAGAGGGACTACGAAGTTTCTTGACTGGAAAAAGGTGTTAAGAGTTACTTTTGAATCCTGTAACTTGTCTCCAGTGGTAAAGTACCGCAGAATGAGAAAGTTACGACTTGAACCTTCATGGATTTTGGAGAGAACCTCAGTTTTGAAGCACATCTTAGCTTTGCCCCTCTGTAGCAGGCGATCTTAAGCATGGCATCTGACTTAATCAAGTTTTCATTTCTTGAACTGTGAAATAAACTTACCTTTCATAGGATAGTAGAATTCAACGTGATAACAATGTGCCCAAATGCCTAGCAGAAAGTAGGTGAGAATTTCAGAGGACAACGAAACCTGCCCTAAGTTCTTCCTCTCCACAAAATCTACAAAGGACCTGATGCATGTCCCTAAAATCCTTCCAGTTGAAACTGATTCCTAAAAGGGAAACAGTATCCCTATTCCATTGGTCTTCTTTGTAAACTAAAATACTCCTAGGATAGATAGCCTCATAAATCACTAAGTAACTTGAATCAGTCTTTGAGATGCTTTGCTTTTCTTCCAGTAGAGCATGCTGAGCCTGGGTGCTTGGGGGAGGAGAGAAGGAAGGGTCCTTCAGCTCTGAAAGACTCAGGGTCCGTGAATCCCACTCTAGGAAATTACATCTTGGGATCCTTTCTTCCTTTCTCTTCTTCTGGAACACCATGTTATCTCAAATGGTTATGGATACTTTAGAAATGGGGAATTTTTTTATGTATATTTCTTATTGTTTGTCCTCTGAGAGCAGCCCTGATGACTCTGAAACAATTCAGAAATGCTAGGAGTCTCTGGTACCAGTTTCTTCCCTTGATACGGCACAACTGTTTCGCCAGTAGAACATGAACAGGTGTGTTCTTTTTGCTTTGATGGTGGGGAGAGGTGTTGTTAGTGGTAATTACCCTGAAAGTCCTAAAAATGCCCCAGGTAAGGTAAACATCTAAATTCTCATCTTAAAATGAACCAGACTAGAGTGAATACTTTCCATAAGTCACTTTCCAGGATCATTTTCACCTGGTGCACAGTTTTTCCATTCTTTAAATTATTTCCCTGTATTTTTTCCATGAAATAATATTTATAGCTGAGGGAATTTTATTGAATATATTCTCCTTTTAAGCCACCAGAAAATGTGAAGGTCTCAGCAGAGTTTCCAAATCATAACACTCACATCACAAAGGTAATTTTTTTTTAATCACAAAAAAAAAGTCAAGTTGTCTATTCATCAGTGGGTTCCTCGCTCGGTTCCTCACTCTGAATTACATCTGAGTCCTCATTCATTCCTGTATCATCTGAGCCCGTGGAAATCATGTCTGTGGTCCTAGATTTTGACCTTGAGTCTGATTTCCTTAATTCTGAAGAAGTGGTGCCCCAAAAAGTGCTGCTTTCTGCACTTTTAGAAAAAGATGTGTCTGATATGCCTTCTGAGGGATGAAAGTAAGACAGAGTTGCCAGCTCCGGGTTGACGGAGTATTCACCACTCTCACATGATTTTTTATATCTGAAAAAGAAAACACACATCAAGAATTGTGTGTACAATTGCAGCTCAACTTAGAAAAGCATCTCAAAGCTATATATGAATTCTATCCAACGTATTGTTTACTATATAAATGAACGAAAAATGTTAGACCCTACACACATGTGCTATTTAAAACAGAGTTCATAGCCCTTTTGTTTCAAGGCTTTAAAAAGGACCACAGATCTAGGCTATATATACTTTCCAATTGACTAAGGTTGTTTTATTTTTAGACGACTATTTAAATTGTTGGGAAAAAGTTCAAGTAATATATTCCCTGCGAGACAGCCCCATGCTCCTTTTCAAATAGGGAAAATGCAGCCAAACAGATACCTTATAGATAAATTTGGGAGTCACATTCCCCTAGCAATCTACTAGAGAGGAGAGGCGGGGTTTCAAGTCCTGGATGTTATAAAGACTCCAGAGGTCTGTAGACTTACTGCAGTGTCTTCATTTTGTACAGCATGGCACTACAGATTGCCAAGAGGATGACAAAAAGGAACAGGGTCATCAATGAGATGCCCAGCATTAATTTTAACTTGATGTCCTGTAGTTTGGCCAGGTTGTCTTCATTGGCAGCGGTCACATCAGAGCCTGAGAGGAAGAAAGAAAACGCAATGGAAAAGAGGAACTGTGTTCAGCATGTTTTCCTGGAGAAATAAGGATCTTGGAGCAACTGAAGCAAAGCCTTTAGCATTTGGAGTCTTCACTGCCCACCCCCCCAAACCCTCCTGCCACGTAGGGGAGAAGGCTCTGGGCCACTCCCTATGGCCACATACTCAATTTTTGTACTTTTCACCTTCACAGCAGCCTTGGAGGAGCTGTCCTTCCCTCTGTTATCCAGGATCACAGAAGTTTATGGATTTGCCCATGGTGCATAGCTAGGAAGTGGCAAAGTCTGGGATCCCACCCAGGTGACCAGATGTTAACATGTATATGTACCAGACTTTCTCCCTGAATAATAAAAACGAGTTCAAGACTCTGAAGAGGTTACTATTAAAATTGTCATGAATTCACATATAACGGGTTAGTCCTTTGGGAGAGACAGATGCAGCTCTGCTGTTGACACATGCATTGATCTCTCTTTTACACTAAAAGGATGATGTATTACCTGCTTTCTCCAGGAGGCTTAAGAACTGAATTGGCCATTTTATTACTGTGCTCAAACTAGTGTACTTGATATTAAAGAAGTGGAAACTTAGTTAACTTTCTGAAATAAGTTATATAATAAAAATCATGTCTGGATCCACAGATGTCAAAAGTCTTTTTACTAAATCTGTTAATGAAAATATATCTTTACTGCCAAATTTTACATCTTCCTGAATCTAATCCTAATCTATCTGGCTTAATACTTTTATTTAATAGTGACTTTAAATGACCATGTTGATATTTCTCCCCTTTCTGCCCTCTTCCTACCCAAAAGTTCCAAGAGTTTTCATTATTTTCGAGGAAATGATGTCCTGGTAATAAACAAAGACAAGTTCCCATGTCTATCTTCTCTGACATTTAAAAAAAAAAAACTGTAATTGTCAATGTGTGATCCTAAACCAAGTGGAATGAAATGTGTGCAGGAGTCAATGACCGATATCTTGACTTTGAGGCACATTATTTGGGGAATAATCAAATTATGTTAAAATGGGCTGTGCTCCCAAATTGCCTGGCTACTCCTTAAAAGGGTTTTTGTAAAAAGGTGTGCCTGTAGTACATTTTATCGAAATGATGATCAAAACTAGAGAAGGATTTGAAATCCCTAACCAGTAGAAATTATAGAAAAGCTAATTACAAGTTGAGACAGGTTTTTTTCCTCCCGGCCTCAGTTTCCTCATCTGTAAAATGGAGATACTACAAACTTTCATAGAGTCGCTGTGAGAGCTGACATAAAGATGAGCAGTATGTGCTCAAAACATATTAGAAAATCAGTCATGCTCAGGCTAATTACCTGAAAAGACAAAATATTTCTAAAGCATTTATCATTCCTGTATATCACTTTTCTAAATAAAGAAGACTGACTCCATTTTACTGAAGCACTGGAAGGCAAGTGGCTATAATTGTCAAATAATACAGAACAGAACTGAGGTGACAGGTGACAGGCCTTCGATGTATTACCAGATGCTGTTTCTTTCTCAATGTATTTTTGTAGGATGGATGTTCGGGGAAAATTAATATATTGCCTTGTCAAATCAATCCATAATGAAAACTATATTCAGCAGCAGGAATTCCCTCATTCATTCCTGGTGGGAATGCAGAATGGTAGTCACTGTGGAAGACGTTTTGGTATTTCCTTACAAATCTAAAGATATTCTTACCATATGATTCAGCAATCACGATCCTTGGTGTTTACCCAAATGCACTGAAAACTTACGTCCACACAAAAACCTACACGTGAGTGTTTATAGCAGCTTTATTCATTATTCCCACAATTCGGAAACAATTGAGATGTCTTTCAATAGGGGAATAGATAAACACACTGGTACATCCATACAATGGGATATTATCCAGTGATGAAAAGAAGTGACCTATCAAGCCAAAAAGAAGTGGAGGAACTGAAACGCGTATTGCTAAGCAAAAGAAGCCAGTCTGACAAGGCTACATACGGTATGTTTCCAACTATATCACATTCTGGAAAAGGCAAAACAGTACAGTGATAAGATCAGTC